CATTAAGCATCAATCACTAGGTATCATTGTATATATTGCTGAAGAAAATGAGAAATTGTTTTCCACTCGTTTGATTCATTCCTGAATATTCCACCTCTAGATTTTTCTCCTCCGGAACTACCATTTATTTAAAAATATGTTCCGAAACACTATCAATAATGAAATCACGTTTCCAATTTGGAAAGAATTTTTATTTCACACATTCGAAATTTTAATCAAGCTGATATGTTCGGCGAGCAATTACTTCTATTCCGCTGAATTCAATTCAACTATACGTTTTATTCTGGAAACTACCTGATGAAGCAATTTAATCAATTTTCAGCAGGCACACAGCGGTAGAAATGGAATTAAAGCTGAACTAGATAGATGAAATAACTAGGTGATTCTGAAATGAAAATTTTCGCTGTCGATATTGATCAAAGACAAGAAGTAAACCGCTAAAAAAATATTGACACAGAAAATATCTGAACGATATGATGATGGTAAATGATTTATACAGGGTGTAACCTAATTACGGTACGGAACTTCAGAGGGTGATTCGTTAGTTTGTTTTAAGAAAAACGTATTCATGAACATATGTCAGGAGTTGCTTTGTTTCTGAGATATAAGGCGTTGAAGATTAAAAAAACGGTGTTTATGAAGTATCATGAATATCCTTACACCGATTTCGTTGAAATTTGATACAGTTATTTGAAGTGATAGGGCGCTTATTCAACCTTGGTTAGATTGGAATTATTAGGTCCAGTGCGGTCTCAGTGGGCCATAAAGCCATCAATATTGAGAAAAAAACTGTACCATACGTTCATTCGTATGGCGTAGCCACTTTGCATATTATGCGATGATCACCTGCTTTAGAGACTAGTTGATAGTGATGGTGTTGTCATATCAGTGAAAGTCAGGGTTGTCAATTAGCAGTGATAGTAATTCCATCATGAATAATTTTACTAAGGCTGAAATGGCTAACATGCACTTTATTTATGAATTAACAAATGGAAATGCGGAAGAAGTACGTAGAATCTACCAGGACAGATACCCTAACAGAGTAATGTGCTTAAACATTTGGAACGCTACATGCAATATTACGTGAAACTGAGAGTTCTAATAAAAATGCAGATTCTGGAAGACCAAAAACTATAACAACGTCGGAATTAGAAGAAGCTATACTTGATGCGATACAGAAAGATCCTTCAAATAGAATGAGGCAGATTGAACTACAACAGGAAGTCATAACAAAAACCGTATGGGCAGTTTTAAAAAGAAACCTCATGTACCCATATCACATACAGCGGGTTCAAGCTCTATTTCCTCGGGATTTTCACCCAAGATTGATGTTTTGCAGGTGGTTGATTCATACGATGGCACACAATAATAGTTTTTCACTAAATATTTTATTTACGGACGTAGCCAATTTTTCAAGAGATACTATCATGAACTTTCACAGTGCAAATTTTTGGGCCTTTGAAAATATCCATGTTATTAGAGGAAGTCATTTTCAGCAGCAAATTTCGCTGAACGTTTAGGTAGGAATGATTGGTGACTACCCATTTTTCCTACCAGCAAGATCAACAGGTCAATCCTTCACGGATTTTTTTCGAGATCATTCACCCATTTCGTTGGAAGAAGTGCCGGTACCCATGAGAGGCAATTTGTGTTTTATGCACGATGGGGTTCAGCTCATTTGAGTGTTTTTGCTCGTTACCATCCCGACATCAAATCACATTTTTTTCCAATATTGTTGGCTCAGTTCAAGTCAAGTCAAGTCAAAAATGTTTATCGGCTTTAAGATTAATTACAAAATTTATGAGTGTGTTTTGTGTGGGGTCCTGTTATAGGCTTATGCCTCTTCGGGGTTAGTGAGTTCTAAGTGGTGTCTTGTGTAATGATTCTAGTGTACTGTTGTTTTAGTTGTCATGTGTTCATCTTGTTTTTTGTTTTTTCCATTGCTCTGTTAGAGTGGTCCGGGTCAGTTGCAGTGGTCATTGGAGTTTTTTGAGTACGAGTTGTGGGGCCGGGGGTAAGGGCTTCAGATGTCAGTTCCTTCCAGGAAGTAGCTGTCCGCTATCTGATTCCAAGTAGGTATTCCTCTAGGGTAACCTGGATCTGCTCCGGCGGATCTTCCATTGTTCCGAGGACTATTGCTGGGGGAAACGGGAGCTTCTTCCTAGGAATCTTTCTGGGTCCTCCACGAGGAGTCCACGGTGTAGTCAGGGAGTTGATAGCATCAGTGTTCGTACTGCTCATCGTTCTTGTCGCGTATCGTCCTTAAAGTTCCTGAAATCTCTCGGTAGTTAGGATACGGTGGGATAGTCTTGGGGAAGCGTACAGTATATCATCGCTTTGTAGTCTAGGACTGGTCTGATGAAAGATTTATAAGTATGTAGTAGAGTTTTACTGTCGCACTTCCCGAGCTTGCCTCTCTGTGCTCTTAGTAGGTTTGCTCTCTTCCGGACTCTTTCCCGAGTTTCTCTCAGGTTGACCTCCCAGTTGAGGGTATTCGTGAAAGTGACCTCCAAGTAGGACACCGAATCTTGGACTATGAGGTATTCTCCTAAAAGCCTGAGGTTCAAGTTATCGGGATTTAGTTTAGGGCGGGTAGTGGTGTGAGGATGTCGAAATAAAATGGTTTGGGTTTTGGAGGGATTAATTTCGGTACGCCACTTGTTGAACCACTGCTCGAAGTGGTCGATCATGTTTTGTGCTTGAATTTGGAAGCTGCGGGTGTTGGAGTAGAGGATAGTATCATCGGCATACTGGAGGATTTTCTGGGTAGTGGGGACGTCGTGAGCGTAAATTAGAAATAAGGAAGAAGCGAGGGCTGAGCCATGGGGAGCACCGGGTTTGGGAGAAAAAGGGGTGGATAAGGCGTCATCGACTTTAACGCGGATTTGTCGGTTAGATAGGTAGGAAGCTACTAGTCAGATGAAGTGGTGTGGGAGACGAATGTGGATAAGCTTCCAGATCCAGAAAGTGCCAGACTATGTTGAAAGCTTTCTGGATGTCTGAGAGGATGGCGATAGTGCCAAAAGAAGATTTGATATTTTGGGAGATGTGTGTGTGTAATTCGGCTAGTACATTCTGCGTGGAATGTTCAGGTCTGAAACCATGCTGATGTGGAGGAATGATGTTATGTTCTAC